TTTTATCACTGTTACAACTAAGTTTAGTAATGTTTTCTGTAAATATTATCAATTATTAACATAATCGATTACGTCACTAGGGCACGTAAGAAATAAAACATAATTAAATATTTTTTAAACGTAATTAGGCTCAGAAATTAAGAGATACGTACATGAAATTGTAATCATTTCAAGTAACTTAAGTCACGTGTTAGTTACGCTCCGTTTGCATCAATCGTTTCGTGTGTTCTTGCGTAGGGTTTTATTTTGAAAATATGATATGTTATTATATTTTTATTTTAGTACAAAGCTCTGTCCTACATAACTTGTTTAAGCTTTTGTCTTAAAATTGAAAATTAAGACGGCCTACGTTGCGTAGACCTGCAAATATGAACAATGAAAGAAAAATGTCCGTAACAACAATGTAATAAATTTCTAGTAAGTTACTTGGAAATTTGCAACTACAATAAATTAAAACAACGAATAGAAGGAAGGCTTCAGGGATATGGTAGTTAAAACTTAAATGAAAAATTAAAACGTAATAGCTTTGTAACTATAGAAGTTAAATATTTGAATTTGAATATATTTCATTCGTTAAATCTGATGATTATATGATTATGCAATCATTAAAACATTGGCCATAAGGAGTGAAAATCAGATATGTCAGAATTTTTGCGCTTACAAATAGTAGAATGAACGTAATGAGAGCTTCGTTCATATATAAGTTGCGAACTCTACTTTCTTTAAGCTGTTTTAATATAGATAAAGAGACGCATTTACTTAATTGTAAACGGTTAACTAGACTGAGTTTTCGAATAATCGGTTTCCTAAAATATCAATAATAACTTCGGAATTTCCATTTAGTGTTTTCCCCTTATCTTAAAAAAGTGATTTTTCATTTAGTTTCTTCGAAGCTGAAGAGAGAATGTTGACATTGTCTCATTATTTTAAAGGTCATTCTTTAATGGATTCAAAGTCACAATGCTTTATGATATTACTATTTTAAGGCTGTTGTCATGTTAAATATACTTAAGTATATACATAATATGACAAATTCCTCGTTTATTAAAATATGCAATTGTGATGCGTGTGCTGTTAACGTCAAAAATGTATAAAAACCATTCAATTTGTTTATAAGCATATATATAGCATATATGTTTGTGCTATTAACTTACCATCTTAATTATATGGTAGATAGGCGTTACTTTATTGTTAATAACTTAAAAGGCACGGCAAACGTGACAAGAAAGTTAACCTCAGATTTGAATTATAAAAAATAAAAATGCTTTATTGGACCCAAACAATTTTGTACAAAATCGATGGGACATAAATTCAGAAACTCAGAAAGGCAGAAGTAAAGGCAGGCTTGAGAAGAGAGATAACAATTTTATTTTTCTTACATTGCACGTTTTTACATATTCTACGATTTATTCATATTGCTTCTCATAGCTGTTGCTTGAGATCCACACGTCTTTGCAGATGCACAAACTCGGCCATTGACTCTCATAGCGCCTCAACCTAATATTATACGGAGTTAAATACTTTAGGTAAATAATCAAAAGTGATTCTATATTCATTAATTTATTATTTCACGAAGTTATTGTTTAATTCATACATTGATGAGTATTTGAAGGAATTAAAAAGATGCAAACTTGTAAAAACAATTCGTTTAATTAACATAACATATTTATTACAAACAAAATAATCTAATAAACGTAGCTACATGATGCAGGTGTCAGGCCGATTTGGGAATAATCCATAAGAGGAGCGGCGTACATGAAGGAACCATCGGGAGATACCTCACTTAGTATACCCACTTCACCTTCTCCACACCCATATTCTACTGCACCTTGACCAGCTGCGGGTAAAGGACCTTCTAATGCAGCTGTCCCTAATACTGGCAGCTGTCCACAAACAGATAAAGCGCCTTCTACAATCAGATTGTCCGAAACAATTGTAACACCATTTGGTGCGATTGGTGATGCGCTTGTGACAGCGAAACCTCCTCCATGGGTTGGATTATATCCTGGTAAACCATGTGCTATACTACCGCATGCTACACTTTCAGGGGCAATTGCTCCAATAATCCCATTGTAGACCGTTCCATAACATTGCTCTGTAACCTGCAAAATTTACTTTAGATTTATTATTTATTTTAGATTTTAAATCGATAGTGTTTTATTATCTATTCTCTCGCGCGATTTTCATTCAAACATTATGTAAATTAACTTTGATATTTGTATAACCTCAAATTGATTGAAAAATACTTACATGAAGTATATATATTGATAAACAGATTATGAAGAAATTTGCTGACATTTTATTCGTTTGCCGCAAGGCTTATGTAGGAATGGTGGCTTAAATTTATGTAAATGTTTTTATACTGAAATTTAAAGAACGTTAAGTCACATTTCATTTTCAGATTGTAAAATATATTTTGTTTTCATGATTATAACTAAAGAAATCGACTTTTATACATTTACTGACACGATGCGGCTTATCTTTATTACATAAACCTATATTTCTATTATTTCTCGCAACTTACAATATTAGAAATACTGAGCACCTTTTATATGTAGTATTTCGTTAGTTTATTTCTGAAAGTCTCGATTACATTCGATTGATAATGTAAATATTTTTTTTACATCAATATTTAGTGATGTCCACACACAAGTCAATTTTGCAGTAAACACGTTTACTCTTTTAGGATTACTGTCATTTTTTTCATCATGCAATATATTACTTGCTGAAATACGTTTTAACGGAAATTTCAATAATTCTGACATATAGACAGAGAGACAGCAAGAAGCAACATTGTTTAATACTATTTTAGTTGTGATAAAATTGTATTACTAAAGAATTATCGCCGGTTAAAAAAAAGTAGTTGAATGTTTTACGTCTATGCTAAATTTCAGCCAGATCCGTTGAGCCGTTCTAGTCGTAGTATATATCCATTCATATAAACTTTCGCATTTATACTAGTAGTAAGATTTAATATAACTTATAAAATTAACTAATATAACACAAACCGAATCCATCAAAATTTGAGAGTACCCGATATTATTATTTATATTGTAGGTATTTATTTAATATCTCTCGTCGCATTTTAGCGGTCAAATAAATCAGTCAATACCACGGTGTCGTGGGATACTGACGTGCTTTTAGTTATTACACAATTCTATATAAATACACATAACTCTGACGAGTATTAAACCATGAAATGGGAATACTAACACCAGAACACCATACAGGATTATTGCAATGTCAAAAACTGCCAAATCTGTTGTCATTGTTAAAGATAAACCAAAAGAAAGATCCATTCCTTTGTTTTTAAATTCGTATTTTAAAAATGTGAACATTTAATATGTATTTTAAAATCTTACTACCATACTATTACCAATATAAGAAAGTTTAGATAAATTTTTATTACAAGGTACATATCTCCAGAACGCCTCAATAGATCTCGATATTTGGCACAAATACATAGTCTGGAAGTACAAATATGCTACTTACTAAATTTATTTTTAATTTTACGTGGACGGAATCGCGGATAAATGATTTATTAAAAGAGAAAGGCTTAAAACTATGGAAATAAACGTCTATCTAATCTACATTATTCAGTTTTCAGGCCATTGAAGCGTTGTTAATTAAATTAGTTCTGCTATATGCTTCAGAGAATAGAGATGACGTTGTCTTTTCATGTGTAGGAAAATAATGCCTATAATTGTGTACTTTTGAGAAATTCTAAGTTGATCGATAAGTTAATGTTGTCAGCAATTTGCCATAGTTTTAGACAACACTGCAATATATTAAATCAGTCAAAATTGCGAAAATACAGATATTTCTTTTAATGGTTCTGTATTGTGTTCATATCGTTCATGGATTAGTTTTTCCTTTTAGGTTGACTTTTAAATAAGTATAAAATTGTTTTCTACTGCACATATCTTGTAATTCGTTATTTTAAACAAAAGTTGTTCAAGGTGTCAAATAAAAACGGAAATCGAATTATTATTATTTTATTGTAAAAAATACGCATAAAAAAACTTAAATGTACTGATTTGAGATTCATCATCATTGAGATAATCTATACATAGCCTCTGAAATTAGGTCCCATTGCTGGACTGAATCCGATCTCTCCTGGGTAACCGAAGTTTCCATAACCGAAAGGCATCGCTGGAGGAATGATTCCTTCATTGGTCATACCAACTTCACCGTTCCCACAACCATAGGAAACAGCGCCTCGTCCAGCCGCCGGTAATTCCCCTTGTACAGCTACACTGGCTAAGAACGGTAACTGGCCAGAGACAATAATTGGTCCTTCGATGACTAGATTGTCAGAAAATATCGACAAAGTCCCAGGTGGGATGTTAGATAAGCTAGATACGGGGAAGTTTTCGACTATAGATGGTCCATATGTCAATGGAGTCTCAGCTATGATCGGTGCACATGGTAGACCTGCGAAAGGTCCGTGTGGGAAGCCAGGGTTACCTAAAATAAGGTTGTCAGCCATTCCGTTACCAATAAATCCATGATACGGATTTGCTCCACATAACTGGCCGTTGATTGTCTGAAAATATAAAAAACAAACTACTTCAAAAGCTGCCTGCTCTTCCTAATTACAATTAATTGAAAATGGCATTTGTCTTCTAGATAAACTTTCGTAACCTAAACCTGTTGAAGATTTACCTTTAACAAAAGTGTTGAAACAAATAATAAAATAGTTTTTGAATACATTTTGTGTAGAATAAACACAATAATGATTATTATATTAGAAGTAAAAGTTTATATATCAGTTTATGTGGGTTTTTAAGTAAATTAGTTTAATTTGTAATACTGCTTTCTTAACTGCGATTGCGTTTAATTTAAATGCAACTATTATCTATATTTCACACGTTAAATAAAATCAATACACATTTGTCTGTGTTACCAATACCATGATTCTTGCAAAATTAATAACGAAAGAATATATAAAACTATAAATTGCCGGTGAAGGTTTTTGATTAAAGTTTTGTTGTTAAACAATGTTCAACTTATTGAGCCTGGTTCTGACGACCTGTTTGGTGCAGGTATTTATTTGCTTTTATAAACAGTGTCACCCTAATTTTAGGTTAGGCTCCGAGCCCCTCGATTAGGACGAGTAAGCTGGTGATGATGATGATGTTGAAATATACCTACAGTTTTATGAACGATTAATCCATTGGTCATGTCTTACTATTAAAAATTTTGTTTTGAGCCTAACCTTTTAAATTAACTTATCAACTAATTATTGGTACGTTTCAGAATTCTTTTTCTAATCTTAATTTTAACCACCAGGTGGCGTTTAGCCAGTTTGCAGGACTAGGCCCGGTAGTACCAAATCTAGGTTATGGTTTTGGAGACTTGGCTCTTAGTCCTACTGGTTTTGGAGGATGGGGAGGTCCAGGCTATCCCGGTGTGGGAACATATGGAGGCATTGGTACAGCTGATATCGCGGTAGTAGGAGAGATTCCTGTCGCTGGGAGTACGGTAGTAGTCGGGCAGGTACCTGTCCGAGGTAGCGTGGGCTTTGGTGGTCCAGTTCCAGCCGCTGCGGTCCTAGCAGTATCTGGAAGCTGCAGCTGTGGTCTAAATGGAGCCATATTGAATTAATTTTTGTAACCAGTGACTGATTTTTTCTCAATAAAGCATTTTAACGTTATTTTTGTTTGTTTTTTAACATTACACTCATTGCTTTTATATTATAAAATTGATTACTTTGTGTGTGGATAAAGAGAGTAAAGTTTTGTAATGAGAAAACGTACAATAGATTATTTGTGTTTATAATTATATCCGTTTTTCGAATAGATATTTATCCAGGCAGAGCTTTACTAAATTTAGGTGATTTATTTAAATATTTATTAAAGTAAAAATGTCGGATACTTTGATTTGTTTAACTTTTTAAGCAGTCTTGTTTGGAAAAAATATAAAACAAAGTACTACATTCATTATTTTTTTATAATTGTGGGGTAACACGATTGGATAAGATACGAAATGAGTATATTACAGAAAGTTTGAGAGTAGCCCCAGTGGTTGAAAAAATAAGGAGTAAAAGGTTAGAGTGGTATGGACATGTTATGAGAAGGGATGAATCGCATGTAACAAGAAGGACGTTAGTTATGAATGTGGAGGGGTACATCGGTAGAGGTAGACCTAGAAAGAGATGGATGCATTGCGTGAAAGGTGACGTGATCAAGAAGGGAGTGATGACTGAGATGACGGATGATAGAGTGCTTTGGAGGACGAAAACCCGGTGAGCCGACCCTACGGGAGTAGAATAAGGCAGGGGAGATGATGATGATTGTTTGCGCAATCCAGTAAATGTTACCAGTAGCAGCTATATTAGACTAACTGTTGCTTGCGACTTTGTCCCCGTGGAATAAAAAAGTAAGAAATGTAGCCTGTGTTCCTATGTGATAACGTAGCTTTTTATTGGTGAAACACTTTTAGAAATCGACCCTGTAGTTGTTGAGTTATTTTAATACAGATAAATATACAACATTTTAATCTTTATAATATTAGTAAAGATTAGAAATGTAGTTAACGTAATTAATGTAAGACAAGTAAATTGCTTTAGTATTTGTAGAGCTTTAATCAATTTTATAAAAATTTTCTTCTAGACGAAGTTACAAAGTCAAGTGCACTCTTTTTATTGAATTTTGAATTATGCAAAAACCTTCCTGACTTTTATTTATTTTTATTTTACAACAGAATATATATGTACTTTTTTTTCCGTAGTAACACCTAGAATGACGCCTAAGTGTTAGTTTTGTGTACTAGAACTAAAATCCAATTGCGGAGGGATTGTTGGTTTAAAAAACGATATTAAACACAAATACTTTATTAAATTATTATAAATTATAAAAATGCGTGTCAATCACCATATAATGAAGGGGATAGGTTTTTAAAATAAATAAATTACAATAAAACTTAGGCTACAATAGGACTCCCGGTTGCGAATTCATTAGGGATCCCCGCAGCAAAATTGTTGAACCCAAATCCGTTGCCTGCAAATCCTGGACCCATAGGTACTCCACCGTAAGGCATACCTGGCATAGGTCCAACGGGAGCTGTGTTTTCATTTACCATGCCAATATTTCCATTACCACAGCCATACGAAACTGCACCTTGACCTGCAGCAGCTAGGGGTCCTTCCAGGGAAACACTTCCTAAGAAAGGAAGCTGGCCAGTTACTGCCAGTGGTCCTTCAACTAGCAAATTCTCAGATAGTACCGACAAGCCGTGGGGAGCTCCTGGTGACGAACTTGTCACTTGGAAGCCTCTGCTATTAGAAGCAGCGATGTCACCGATTTGTAAACCAGCTAACTTCGGTTCGTAACCTAATGGGTGAGCTGCAATTGGCAATATCGCTTCAGTAGCTAAGTTGTTAGCAACGGCTAAATTGTTGGCGGCCGCAATGTTAGCCGTTGCGATATTATTAGCAGCTGCGATATTGTTTGTAGCAGCTATATTATTAGCCGCTATATTGTTAGTAGCTGCTATATTGTTAGCCGCTACATTAGCAGCTGCTAAAGGATTTCCTGGTCCCAAGGGATGGCCCGCTGTTAAACCGTTTCCAAACATACCGTTGTTAAATGGTGACCCAAGAAATTGTCCATAGCAATTCTGAAAAATACACATTTTAATTTACAATTACTTTAATAAATTTCCAGTTAATATAAGAGCATACGCACACTTTTGACTAAACTATCGTAAAACTGTTTAGTCGCGCTTTGATACCTATGAATTTATATGGAGACGCGCGAACTACTCGATTTTTAGTTCTGCATATAAACAGTTGAATTAGCTGCGAGACAGTCGACAATCGCACAACATTTGTGCGATAGTTTATTCAAAGGTGTGCGCCCGCTCTCACTGTTTAAAAGTTTTACCTGGATAAGAAAACAAGCAGAGATAATGAAGATTTTTAAAGACATTTCCTATGATTTGATTTGAAAGTACCAAGTAAACTGAATACTTTATGCGTTTCTACGTACATTTTATACGGAATATTAAGTATTTCGTAATAATATAAAAGATATAATATTACGACTGATTGTTCAAATAATCATGTATTGTATCATCTTTATCAATGTGTCTCAATTCTTGTAAAGAAATCGTGACATTTTATCAATAATTATAATGTTAGTTAATTAACATTTATGTTGTAAAGTTTCGTTCATCTTATCTCTATCTGCATTGTATTCGGTTAATAGTTCCTTTTAATGCTAATTTTGTCAAGAATTTTAAAAATCATAAATTTTTCAGATGCGGGCGTAGAACGTAACACAATTTTTGATACGAAAGGAGTATAAGTAGGGGTTGATTATTTGAAATCTTTTATAAATGGAAAATCAAAAGAATCAAAATATGTAAACATTAGCAACTAATATGTACCATTTTGGTTGATTTTTTTTAATATAATCATTTTCTGACTTAATGTATGATATTGATGGATGGATGTTTGTCAGAGTTTGTAACCTAAACGGCTGAACAAATCTCGATTTTAGCATAAATGTAGAGCAAAGTTTTGAAGGACACATAGGCAACTTACTTTTTTTAATGCCACGAGGACGGAGTCGCGGGCGAACGCTAGTGAGATAACACATCAGACCCTAGATGAGCACAGACTGAGATATATTAGAAACTCCCTTCATGCGTATATAAAGATTTAACGAATGTTGCATCGTGGGAGCCTTATCACAAACAAATGCTTGTGATGTTCATATTGAATAAGTATTTTTTGGGAAGAAATTGAAATGTCCGAGTAATTTTTAAACTATGTGGTATTTATCTAATTAATAAATACTGATATGTGAAAGTGTCTGTGACTTCGTAGAATTCTTGTATTGATCAAAAGTAATAAGTCTATCACATGTTATTATTTAACACTTATTGGATGGCATACTTTACACAGTTTGTAGCCTATTTATTTTATTATTTAATTCGTTTTAAAATTCATTATAAATGCTATTTATTTTTTTTCGATGAAACCTGGGAACTTTTCACCTATCATTCTTTCAGTTTATTTTTCATAGGACATGGTTTTAATGCTCACTTAACAAAGTTAAGAGCATAGAGCATTCAAGACGTTTTCCTGTGATTGAGTTGTAATGAAATTAGAAACATATTTGTAAGCTCTATGATAATTTTAATAACTATTAATCTTCAATTCCTCTAGTTTAAAAATTTATCCCGATTCCATTAAATATTATTTATCCATAAATCTTCTGAATATTTCTTATTTTTAAATAAGATTACTTTTATTTAGAATAAGGGGATAAAAGATCAAGCGAGCATCGGAATTAGATAATAGCGAATTGACCGCTGCCCATAGACATCCGCATTTGCAGATGCGTTTCCTATCTTCTAATAATATTCTTCTAGCAATATCCCCTTTCTTCTCTAAGGAAGCTGGAATTCTATTGCTTCTACTTCTTAAGATTATTTTTCTTAACATTTTTTACTTTTGGTGGGAACTTTAACATGAAGTTACATTTGTATAATCTGATTCCGTAAGACATGTTTTTGAGCAAATTCATGAGCACGTACATTGGAACGTTAAATTAACATCGTTATTCAATATCTCATGTCTAAACCGCAAATTCAATCATTTCTCGAGTCAAATTCAACACTAACATTTCTATTAAAATGTCGATTGATAAATTTAAATAAAATAGAACATATTTATTTAAAAACATTTATTAACATTTATCACAATAATAACATTTATATTTTAATTTTAACAATATTATCTAAATTGCCTCACATCTGTTAAGACCATTCAATCCCATACCGGCAGGTCCTAAACCGTAGTTGGGTCCAGGGAATCCTGGGCCATATCCGTAACCGGGACCGAAACCAGGTCCAAAACCAGGTCCGAACCCGGGCCCGAAACCATTAGCGTATGCCATTTCAGGTGTGGGAAGTATGTCTTCGCTGACCATGCCAACATTTCCATTACCGCAGCCATATGAAACGGCACCAGAGCCGGCCGTTGCGAGAGCACCTTCTAATTCCACGGTACCTAAGAAGGGGAGTTGACCTCCAACAGCCAATGGACCTGTGTACTCGTTGTCAGAAATAACAGACACACCCATTGGAGCGATAGGAGATATACTTGACACCATAAAACCACCGCCGTTGGATGAGGGAAGAGTGGCCGGTCCTAAAGGTGCAAATTCGGGTGCAATCATGGGTCCTGGACCGTAAGGGGCACCGAAGGGAGCTCCGCAGCCAAATCCTGGTCCAGCCCAGCCCATAGCCTCAGGCGCTAGTCCAGGTGCAAGCATGTTGTTATTTAATGCATTTCCAAGGAACTGGCCAGCAATAATCTGTAATGAAAAAAATAGTTTTTGAATAATGGTAGACTCGTTTTACTTGTTTTATAATCTATGTTTTTTATTGACTTCATGCTTAAGACACAGGCTTGTTGATTTTTAACTTACTTGGAAGAATGCTGTTTGCACACACAGAAGGAAAGTTAAGGAAGACATTGCTATAATTCGTTGAAGAATCGAGTGATACTGATATTCTAAGTGTCACATTCACTTTATATAGGTAAATTTATTATCAATTTCTAAAATTGTTTGTGTAAATGTTATTGTGAAAATTATTTTTTTTGTCGTTATTATGTTACGAATGATACGTGTCTTGATAAATATTTTATTAATAAATTATATTTCTGTTATAATTTACATTGATTATTTTGTTAACGTGTCAGGTTTTATGTTGTAATTGATGAAAACATAATCTTGTGTAAAACTTTTTTAGGTTTTTTTCAATATGAATGGAAAATAAAGTGACGGTTACTTTTGCAAATTCTGAGTGGTAACTTTACATGTGTAATTTTCTTTCCTTTACAAATAAAGATTCAAGTATTATTTTTAAGGTGTTTTAACTTCATGAAAATACTATAAATCCAAATGTAATACATACCAGTAAAAATAACATGTATGTACAAATAGTTATAATAATGAGATGGTTGTTCATGCCATCTATTAATAAAACGGATCAAAACCTTTCATATCTAAACTTGGGAAATTCATATTATTAATGTTGTTAACTAGATGGCGCTGTTTTCAAGATTTAAACGACAATTTTTTAATCACATTTTAATCCTTTTATTCCAAGGAACGGAGGGCAGTGATCATTCGAAGGAGGGGACATAGGAAAGATAATTATCCTGTTTCTGTGCCTTCGTTCCTCTGTTGCTAAAGTTAGGCAATCCACGTGCGATTACGAATGTCTGGGCAGCGGTCGCTTCGCTATTTCCGCGAATTATAGGTGGCCGCTTGCCCGTTTGCTACTTTACGATATAAAAAACTGAGTAATCTTATTGCAAAAATAACGACTTTGAATGAACTACGTTTTTTGATACATGTTACGTACTAATAGATAATAGTTTAAAAACTGTGCACTATTGCGTGTTATGTCACAGAAATGCAACGCGTAATCTAACAATGAAATAGTATACGTGTTTACTATAAATAGTGGTTTTAGACTGGTCAGTACAAAGTTTTATTTGTAAAATAAACATGACCGCATTGACAATTTCCCTATTGTGTATCCAAGCTTATTTACTCCAGGTAACAATTTCAATAGAATTATTAGAAACATGAACTAAATAAGTGACTATTCTTGGAAGAAACAAATCATTGAAAAAGAATCACATTTGATTTTATGTTTTTATTTGAATGACTAAGACTATCGCCCCACATTTACTTGTGAACTAACTGTATTATAGTGACAATTAATATTTTATTTTCAGAATGTCCTCGGTCAATGTTTAGAGCCAGGTATCGGTCTTGCAGCGGGCTTAGTACCAGAAATTGGATTTGGTTTGGGCCCTGGAGTTCCTGAGGCATACGGACCCGGTATAGCTCCAGGTTTTGGTTACGGTTATGGATTTGGGCCTGCGCCGTATGGTCCTGGTCCTTATGGTCCTGGTCCTGCTTATGGTCCTAGTTACGGTGGCGCTGGGATAGGTGATGTAGCTGTCGCTGGAGAGATGCCAGTCGCTGGAACGACCGTTGTGGCAGGACAAGTGCCGATACTTGGAGCGGTTCAGTTCGGTGGTGATGTACCAGCTGGTGGTATAGTCACCATTTCTGGGAGATGTGGTTGTGGGTGCAATGGACCGTATATGTATTAAAATAATTTAGTTATTTAGTGTTTATTGTTACAATTTATTGTTAATAAAGAGTTTTTATAATTTATTTTTGATTATTATTCTCGTGGTTTTGTAAAATAGTATTGCAAACGTTAATTTCAGTATTTACTGCAAGACAAAAATAATGAATCGTAAAAACAACAATAATACTCAAATAGTGAGCCAGAACAATCTATTTAAATAATAAAAAAACTCAATTCATCTAATAATAGTTTCGCAGCCAATGCAAAGAAACAGACAATCATAATCTTTCCTCTTTAAAACATTGAATACAAAAAAATATAAAACATACACTAAAGCAAAAACAGAATCACCAATTTGTTACTATTAGCCTAGTCCTATTTTACTGAGTTAAGTGAAAATAAGTATAATACTAACTTGAAGCACGGGAATTTCAAGTATGGTCTGTCAGGAACTTACTGGTTTAATTCTGAACTATGATCACAGTACCGGTTTGTAATATACGCATAAACAAACAAATGACAATTATTGGCTTTCGTTTGGTACAGGTCATATGGGTTCGCCACATTCGGTGGCGAACATTTTAAATTTTGCGGCCCGGGATAATAGGTTAATCGGGCGCACTTGTATTCTCTTGCACTAGTGGGTAGTTTTGAATCCCTCAACAGTACGGAGGTGTACGGGGGCAAGAGTCGTGTGCAATCAGTCAAGCGGGTCGGTTGGTGACGAAAACAACGCGAAAGACGCAACGGAAGTGTTTTTGTTAGCGAACAGGGTCGCTGGGAATTTCGAGATTGCATTTGAAACTGTAACGGTATATACGAGTGTATCTGCAGGCAGCATCGCTAGGCAGTGAAGCAGACATCGAACTAATAAGTACCACGATATACTCGATCTCACTCATGTTTACAATATTATGCCCTTCGGTGCATGCGTGGTTTAATGGTAGGTTGTGCTGAAGAGTCTGCACTTAAAATGCCCTGCTTTTAAGGGGATCAAATAACTGAACACTCATTCGATGATGTTTTACACAAGGTTAAGTTGGAATCGTTTAAATAATCTACCTCTATTTGTATTATGAAGATAAGATTTCAATGACTGT